TCACAAATTAGAATTATGGTTTGTTTTCTTTTTTAATTGGCACACGTGATTATTGCAGTTGTAGACTTGAACTTGGTAGAAGTATGAGTTTTGCTTGTTTACAAATAATCTGATATATGGACCCTAAAGCATTATTTATATTTCAGTTGTAATTTTAACTTGTGCATTGTTAGCCTGGCAAGAACAAATTACATTGAAAGAGATGTTGATATTGTTTTCACTGGTTGTACTTCACACACAATTTGTCCTAGGCTGGGATCTCTGAAATTTAGATTAACTGTTTAATTAAACTTCTATATTGCATTTTGTATTGTATTCTTCCTGCTGTCCTGTAATGAACTCACAGATAAAAAATGGACACTTTGTTCATATTGTATTTATAAAATTTGAAGCTGTTAATTATTAAGATGGATTTTATGGAGAAAATATTTTGTTTTATGAGCAGATTGTTAATCGGAAGGGACGAGTAGAAGAGCGCATGCCACTGTTGGTGTTGTTCAGTGCAGATGTGATGAGCTGTATTTTTAAGGCAGCCGATGTTGCATCAAGTAAATCACTTGATGAATGCCACTACAACTTCTTTAAGAGACTGACATTGGTGAGTGGTTCTTAATTACCAAACACAAATGGAATTTTGTTAAGGAAGAATTTGCTTCTTATGCAGTTTTTCTGTCTTTTGTTTACTGAATTATTTCGAATAGAAGATGTCAACACCAAATACTTCACCACCATTGCGATATTGGTAGAGTGCCTGCAATGTTACTATGGAGATACTTGGCAAATGAAGATGGCTGTCTTGTGGGTTGTAGCACCATGTAATCTGGTAGAAGCTTATCAACATTTAAGAGGTTCTAGCTGCCTCACCATCAGGATGATCATTGCCTTGATGATGGAAGTAGCAGAGACCTCTGACAGAAGTAGTGAACTTGTACAAGGCGCTGGAACCCAGAATGCAGCCATCTTCAGGCTCACCACTGTGAGAACCTGAAATCCTACAGACTCGAAAAATGCCAGGAATAGAACCCTGGACAGTTTTTGGGATATTGGCCTCTGTTACTATAATTTTCTCTTCAAGATAAGCAACTTTGGTCTTGGTGCTGTTCTTCTGTTAGTTAGTTTCTGAGCTGCAGGAACTGATATCACCAGGAGTCAAACTCAGGACACTTTTCCAGAGTTTTGGCCCTGCTTTGTTCTCTTCCTGGTCTCATTGAATAAACATGCCAAGTCTTGTGCAAATTGGTGTATTAATTTTTTAACTACAAGTGAACAAACACATAAATAAACTCACAATTCTAACTAATGTAAGTATAGAATTTTCTTCATCTGAGAATCGCTGAATTACTTTTCATTGAGTTGACTAATGTATTATAATTTTCAGAAACAATTGTATGTGTTAGAAGTTGGCTGCTGAAGTATAAAATGAGCTGTGATAACATTTTATGAATCTGTTTATTGGCATAAATTTGACAAATTTGTTTCACATGGCAAGAGTGTACTTCTCTGAATTTATGGATAATTGAATTAAAGGTTTAGTTTCAAAATGTAGATATACCCACTTCCTTACTAATAAGTTAATGGTAATATATTTAAATACAAGAAAATATTTGAAACATGATTATATGTAGTAGCACTGATGAGCGTGGTTTGAGTTGAAACATTTGTAATACGCTCTCTTGAGTGATCATTGTGTTGCTTATGTTACAGGTACTGACAGGACTTGGAACACAGGTTTGCATACTATGGGGCAAAGATGATGGACTGAATGTTCGTCCACCCAATTTTGCCACCTACCTAGACGTCATTCTCACATTTAGTCGGCATCCCAGTCTCACTTTGGTTCATTATGCAAATGCTCTGTGGATGTTATTCTTCAGACATGAGCACATCTCAAAGGACAAAGTTTTTCTCACATTTGTTCCCAAATGGGTGGAATGTACTGCTCCCAAAATCATGAAGGTATGTTCTTGTAGCCATGAGTGAAATGAAGCATGGAAAGTTGTGTGCTTTATAACCACTTAATTCAAGGCAGTTATGTGAAATTAGACACAGCAACCTTGCCATACTCAAAATATTGTAGAAAATTGTGTATCCAGATGTGATGTGGGTCAAATCGAGATCAATTGGAGTGAGAATCGTTATCTTACTTCAAAACTATGAAAATTTAGCTGTCAAAATGTGGAGTATCTTATTTAAGGAAGTGGATCCAAGTAGACTTGAAAAAGCACTGTCAGATAGTTGTGAGTTTGTGATGACTGTTATTGTGTGCCTTGAAAAGAAACTTTTCTTGTTAAAAAGTAAATGTTTTGTGAAAATGTTTGAAGATATATTGTGTTTAATTTATAGTACCATTAACCATTAAATGCTGCTTTTTCCTACACTGCTTGGAATCTATTATCAGACTGAACCTGATTAGAGCTGGGTATAGCCAGACTATTTTTATACAGTGCTAGGAAGGTATTTGTTTAGACTGATCCTGGTGAGAGCCAGTTATAGGCAACATATTTTGATTGTCAGCAGAACAGCCTGTTCACCGGTCAACCTGTCGTTTCAAGCTGCATGCCTGGGTCAACCCAGATAGGCAGTTTTATTATAATGTACTGAAGCAGACACCAAAACGTGTGCTGGCATCAGATGTATTTTTAGTTTAAACACAGGTTTTTATAGTTCTGTTCTCATTTGAAGATGAGTTATTCAGGTAAATATCGTATCTTCACCTTTTGAATGCGTATTAATTTTCTTTTGAGTTGTGAAAGGTAGCAGTGTATTTGTCTTTCCAGGTTAGCTACCCATTGTCGCGCTGTACTAATGTCCATGACACTGGTGCTTATGCATGCCTTGATTATGACAGTGATGAGGAATTTGCCCAGTTCTTCCATCAGTGCCGATCAGAACTGCTTCAGACATTCAGACAAGCCACACTGGTAGCGCCGTTGGTAACATTTTCCTATGTACAGAAATGGTTGGCTACCAGAATACAAAAATCAATGGCAGAACAGGGCATTGAATGTAATTATCAGTCACCTACATATCTGGAGTGGGAATCCTTGTCCCAGGTAATACCATTTACATACATTACAAGTAACTTTATAGCCATATTGGTGTAGTTTGTTTTACATTCACAGATTCAATATTTAGTTTTTATCAACTGACACAGCTGATGGTCCAAGAAGATTTTATTAGTGTTTGTCACTGTGAAAGCTTCAGATTATGCATGTTGTACCACTGTTGTCCAGGGACAGGGACTGGCATTATTTATTGGACCTAAGAGAGTAGGTGTTCCTGATGACAGGCTTCAGTCTCTGAAAGATCACCTTTAATAGCATTAGAGCCATGGGTAATGTTGAAGTTTCTTAGTAAGACTTGAGGTTTTCATAACAGTGAGTTTGATGATGGCTGTGTTCTGTGTTGTAGCGCCATGTAGTCTGGTAGAAATTTACAATTGATTCAGAGGTCCTTGGTGCCTCCATCATTGTACAAGTAGCCCATGATGGAAGTCGGCTTTTGTAAGGCAAGAAAGAAAAAAATCTAAGCACTTTATCATGACAGCATATAAGAGGCAATGAGTTGAGGCTTGACACATTCTCAACCTTGGCAACTTTATGCTCAGAGATGTGAATGTGGCTTCATATTTTGTGAAGTGCTGGAAGCTTGGAACTCATTCTTCTCTGGAGTTAGAATTCTTATTGGTTTTTCAACTGGAGAAAAATGAGTTGCTGCCTTCTGGTACATCACAAAATGTAGCTCACAGAGTCACTGAAGTTGTGTACTAACATTCTTTATATTCTCATAGAAGATGACTGTCTTCTGGGTTGTCACACCTTGTAGTCTGGTAGAAGTTTACTCATGTTTTAGAGGTGCTTGCATCAGCAAACTTTTATCAGACTGCGTGGCTGAAAATGCCAGAAAACAGCCATATTCATACTTGCTACCGTGAGAACCTGAAATGTCACCATATATTCTCTTTGTTTTCAGTTACTTGAGAGTATTCTGAGTCGTATCTTGGTTCCAACTGAGCGTCCTAGCGTAGCTTCTGGGTTGCGCCTTCTAGAAACTTGCCTCAATTACGAGCCGTCCGATCCCCTATTACTCTCGACTCTTTTATCGTGCGTCTCGGCATTGTTTGTGTTTCTGAGCATGACGACGGCTGAGCGTTCAGCTAGTCTCCTTCCACGTGTACTAGACAAAATTTTTGCAGCATTGGTGTTTAGTCAACCAGGCCAGGCCAAAGACAGTCGCAGTAGAGTAGTGAAGAATGTTCGTATGCACGCGGCCAGCCTCATGGTAAAAATAGCCCAGAAGTATCCACTGCTGTTGCTACCCGTGTTTGATCGAGTGTATGCGACGGTTCAGGGCCTAAGCAGAGATCCAGAACAGCTTTCAAGATTGGAGAGGGTGACTTTGCAGGTATTGTTTGTGTATTTCTTATATTTCTTTGGCACGGTTGTGATGCTGTAAGTAGTTAGCGGTCATGTGTGCCATGTCATTGGCCATACTGAGACCAGTTTTGTTGGCTGTCCATAAATATTTACCCTCCATACTGGAAAACCACGTGTGTCAACAAAAGTTTGGTTAGATTCTGAGATATATGTGGGAGGATAATATTGAAAATGGGTCTTAGAGAAAGTAGGTTAGTTCTGAGCTGGATTAGTACCCAGAAGCAGACGTTTGTATTGATGGTGACGAGTGATTTCCTTATCAGTTGAACGTCTGAACAAAAACTACCGAGGATTGGCGTTAGAGTTTTGTCAGAAGGCAGCTAAACCAGATTCAGGCATTGTTACACACTTTAACAGAAATTGAGGAGCTGCTTATTCGTCTCATAGTATGATGTTAATGTTAGTTTATGTCAGTTATTATACCATGTGCTTTTTTGTGATCTGAAACAGGAAGCTTTGCTTCTGATCAGCAACCATTTCTGTGACTATGATCATCAGACACATTTCATCAGCGAGGTGATTGGTTCTGGTGCCGATGAATGGATCGCATTGAGTTCGAGAGCATTCGAGAGTCCCCTGGACTTCATGACGTTTGTCGGTCTCGATCGCCCCCCTGTGGAACCCAGCAGTGATGATCTGAATGGTCAGTTATTGTATCCATATACATGTTTAAGCTAACAGTCTGATTTGATGTTAATATATATTTTGTATTACCTTTGCTTCTCAGGCACAGTGGGAGTGGTGAAAATTGTGTTAAGTTGTTTCTTAAAGTTCACAGTGAAAAATCTGTTACCACGTTCACTCCCATGAACTCCACTGCTGGTTCACCTCTCGGCCCAGACATTTTTATGAGTACATTAATGATGATGATGATGCACATGGCAAAGAAATCACAGAAGATAGTTACATAGTGATCAGGAAAGTTGTATGTTTGAAGTGTGTTCTGAAAGAAATTGTCATCTCATGGCCTTTTACTATCCAGTCTGAGCTGTAGTTTTACAAGTCTCAGTCTTTGGTCACAGTGAAAGGAGATTTTGTAGTGTTTGGAAGGGAACCGCAAACAAACATGTCGATCTACAAGTGAAGAACTGTGAAGTGCTACTTTTAAAAATGACAAGCATTCGGAAATGCTGTTATTAAAAATACCTGGGGAAGAAGTACATGTTTTAGGTTCTTCCAGAGTTTGGGATGCTAGGTATGGAGTCCAACACATATTTCTTTATTGATGAAAAGTGCTGCTTTTTTACATGTTTTGAGGAATTTTATACATTGTATGTAATCACAGCAAGTGCTACTTCTATGATAAGAATAGCATTTGTAGCTTTTAACTATGCAGATAATGTCATCTGGAAGTAGAAACAGTCATTATTATAGTGTTAGCAACATGTTTTATAAACTTAAGATTCCCTCAAATGAACACTGCATGCAGGGAGTGGTAGCAGTACAGTATGATTCAGTTTTATTAAGTTACACATTACTGCCTATGTACAATCCAAATTTATTGTGAATAGTTGCATTTGATGCTGTGTAACTTTATGCCTCTGGATTGGACCGTACCACTCCTGCATGCCATCTTGGTTTGAGGGAACCTTTACATTGAGTGGTGCAATTTATGTGGCCACTACTGTACTTTTCTGATGTGGGCACCTGTAGAACCAGTGAGGCCTTGGATTTAGATTGGTAGGGTAATCCTACAAAGTATGCATGAAAGATTATGTGTTCAAAGTTTCAAATTTATTGGTTATGTGTGACAAATTAAATCCTTTACCATGTCATTTAAATTCATCCTGTTTTAATATTGTATGCCATCAGACCAGTTAATTTTATTTCTCTTTATACACAATGTTCTGGTGTATATGTGCAGTAGGGGACATTAATTTAACTGCATTTTACTCTGTTAGGCATGGCAAGGTGTTAAGTTCTTGGAAGCCTCTCATTGTGGAAATATATGTACGTGGAGGATTTGAACTGGATTCATCTGACACAGGATAGTGTCCAGTGAACATGGTAATAATTTTGTTAAATGGTAATTCTTACTGGCCTCTCCACAGATAGGCGTATTTAGCAATGGACATTTGTTCTAGTTAAGAGAAAACTGCAAACCTGTAGGTCCAATTGATGTTTATGCTGATTTCTGGTTCTTCACATGCCCAGAATACTTCTCAGATGTAGTATGTATACACTAGGTGTGGTGTCTTGTCAGTACAAAGGATGTTTTTTTATTTGTATATGTAGGTCAGAACCGGTCTCACATACTGTTCTATGTGAACCTGTTCCTGGCAGTTGTTAAACGATGTTCATGGCCAGATGACCCAGATCGAGCTTCCCGCGGGGGTTTCGTGGTGGCACATACTGAGACGGGCAATCCTGTATGTCGCAACCCAGCAGCACCTCACATTGTACCACTTATCCCTCATTTTCTGGCTCTGCTTAAAGTTTTTAATGGACTTTGGACACCCACTGCTCTTGCTTCTCTATCAGATGTAAGTCTCGGCAGAGTAACATTTGCATGTCAGGCATTTTATTACTCAGATTTCAGTAAGAAAGCTAGATTTTTCTTTCATGTTTTCTAAACTAAACAGTTACTCTTGTTTTAGAACAATTATTAATAAAAATTACATCAGTTGTCTTACAAAACTTTAGTTTCACTGAACAACTTTGTAAAGCATTTTAGCGTTCCTGCTTCGTATTTAGGAGGTCCCAGGTGACTGTCCTGACTGAAGCTACAGTCACATCCTTTGCGGTTCATTATTCACTAATCATCCCCTTGTATGCCACTGTATAGTCTGAGCTACTGAAAGCATCATTAATCAAGCAATAGTTTTTAACTTTTCTTCTGAAGTTCATGCATCCACTGACATTCCTTCCAAAATTTAAAGTAATTGGTTATGTATGCTGCTTGTGATTTTGTTATCTTCAACATTATATTTTCTCAATTCTGCCCTTTCTGTAATATTGTTCCTATTTCTCCCCTGTAGGGTTATCGTGGAGCGCACATGATGCTGGAATTAGATCGCTCTAATGTTCTTGGAACACCTTGCAGTGCTTCATTTGTGGATCATGTAGATGTCTCTCATCCAAGGGCCCAAACACCATTGGAACGCATGCAGCATTTTCTGACAATGGTACATGACACTACATATCATATACTGGGTAACGCAGGCCCAAGCCTTGGCAGAGACTTCTACCAGATGGAAGGCCTTGTTCCAGATATTTTGAGGTCAATGTTTTCAAATTTAGAGGTGAGTGTAAGTTTAATGGACCACCGGTACATGATTATAAATGACAGTATATATTTTGCATGTCTTCCCTATTCTTTGTGCTTAAAACAGTCATACAGGTAACCCTCGATTTACGCCCGGGATGCGTTCCTGGACGAACTGGCGTAAATTGAAACTCTTTTTATAATGTAAATCAATGGGAAGTCAATGACATGCGTTCCCAGCACCCAAACATTGAAGAGTAATATAATGGCATTACATTTAAAGTTCTGAAATAACGTAAATAAAATAAAGGGAATTTAAAAAAATATATTTTATACACTTACAATCGGCAATTCGTTGGTCCCCGCGATTGCGATTCTTTTATGCGATTGATGCGTACAGTCATCTCTGCTGTTATGCGATTGTTGCGTTCATGTCAGATGCCGACCTATAGAAAAAAATTACCCCGGTACCTCTGCAGAGATTAAATTAGTCCTTTGAAAGTTTAAAGCGCCAGGAATGAAATTGCATAAGAGCAAACTCACATATGCAAAAGTTTACATTTCACAAACAGCTTTTACCAATTCATCGATCTCATTGGAGCAAATTCGCGTTAACGAAACATATGTAATTGCAGAGAAGACTGTATTTATAATTTTTATTCAAAATCAGCAATGTAAGAATTACGATTTAGAATCAGTATGAGATACATTGTAAAACGTTATAAATAATATAAAATATATTTTTTTCACTTTTTGACTTGCTTATTTCAAAATCGGCGTTATTCTGAATCGGCGCAAATCAAGGGTTACCTGTAATTTTATAAATTACATTAATATTTTCTTACCAACACTTTTCAATTAATGTTTTTATTTTAAATTAAACAGAGATATTTTCTATGGGTGCTCCTACCTTATTTCTTAAATGTGAAATAATGCCACAAATTTTAAAATTCCATACTGATGGCGTTAAAAAACATCCAAATGAGAGGAATTGCTACTCAAGCGAGGATTTTATTGTTTGATATTGATAAGCCAGTTGGCCACCAAAGTTTGTGCATCATTTCTTTGCACAAATGTATTTTCCAATATGAAAAGTTCTCTGATACTTCATCAAGGAGCTTGGGACACAATTTGTTTTCAGTAGCAGATCTTTTGAGTGACATTTTTATTTTTTAGTAAATAATTTATGTTCATATTGTAAATGTATTACTGCCTCCTTCAAAAAGCTAATTTATATTTTTGTTTGCCTGTAAGATGAATAAATAATTGACCTTACCGCAGCTCTTGATATATGTAAGTTAAACGAATGTGCCACCCTTGGTTTTCGTATTGCTGTTTCGTGCTTCGAAGTTCAGAACTCTCATCATACCATTTTTTAAAGTATCTCTTAAAATGAAATGTATTGTTTTAATACTAGTGTGCTTCATACACTTCATCTGGAGTGTTGTGCAAAAATAGTTTGTATTTTAATTACATTTGTTGATATTTAGTCCAACATGCTTCATTGCAGGCTGTGCCAGACTACCGTCTGCGTCCCCTAGTGCGATCATTCCTCAAACCATTTGTGTGTTCATGCCCACCTGTATGTTATGAATCAGTTCTGCTTCCTGTGCTGGCCCATATATGCCCATTCAGTAAGTATTTGTAGGTGTGTGTGGTGCATAATAATTTGATGAAAAGAGCATGCGACACGGTTTATTTATTCTCCATATGTATGCATGCAAGAGAATATGCCATGAGCAGCTGCTTCATGCACTTGGTTGTCTGAATGAACAGTTTGGCCACCTGTCTTGTATGTAATTTTTTTCCTTCTCTGGTTTTTAAGAAACAAATACCAGGAACTCACATTGTTTGCATAATCAAGTTTATATACACATTCGGTTACTATTTGTTTCTTTAGATGAAAGTGTCACTTATAGATTAAAATGACTGTACTTCCTATTTGCATGCATTTGATTGTTTTCTGGATTAATGTCAGTCACTTCTCAAATCACATTCTTGGTTTTCTTGAAGTAAATGTTTTCTTCTACATCATGATACTATTCTTCCAGTCTCCTGACGTCTGCCCCTTAATGTTAGATGCATGTTATAAGGGATGTGCAAAGTCTTGTCATTTCATTCCAAGCAGATAAGTGGAAAAAAGATCCAGCCCTGCATTTTGATTTGCACTGCATGTGCCTTGTGCACTTGGTTTGATAAGAGTTTCTTTCCTTGTTTAATATGCAGTTCACATTTTTATTGCACTGTGCTAGGTTTTTCTTGTGCATAATAAAATTAATGTTTTTCAGTGTTCAATCATCTGAACAGCAAGTGGCATTACATTGCACAGTTATATGAATCAGGTGGAATGGATGAAGAAAATACTGATACCCAAGTAAGTGTTATAACGCAGTATTTACTGTGTGATGCACAACACATGCAAGCGTGCATTCACCGTGCCTGTCTGTCTAGGAACTCCTTAACCCTGTATTCTAAAAACAATTTTGTAAGGATGTAATGTTGTATTAATGATGAGATTTTTAAAATTTGTACTCCCCCAATATTGTCAGGGTGATTAAGTCGAGAAGAATGAGATGGGCAGGGCATGTAGCATGCATGGATGGGACAAGAGGTGTGCACCAAGTATTGGCTGGGAAGCCTGAGGGGAAGAGACCGGTGGGGAGACCTAGACGTAGATGGGAGGATAATCTCAGGCGGGATCTATGGGAGATAGGAGTTGAAGGAGACTGGATTTTGTGGGCCCAGGACAGGGTCCGGTGGAGGGCTTTGGTTAATTCGGTGATGAACCTTCGTGTTCCGTAAGCCATCTAGTTGGTTAGTGATGACTGGCAACACTGCTGGGGATGATCATACTTTAGATGAAGGTGAGACAGTAACATGCTATGTGTGCAACCAAGAAAACAACCGTCTATACTCACACTGCTGTGAAAACATCAAGTCTTACATAAACACTAGTTTTCATTATATAATACAATTTTACATGTTACATTGAGGTTAGGCAAATTACAGCTGCATAATATGTAGAAGAAGATGAGTTGTGCATGCTCTGTTTTCATTCTTTGCCGTGTAGTTTAAAAGCATCGTTTTGAACTTGTCTCTGCAATCGTTGGATTTCCCCAAGTTTGACACACTTTCAAACTGCTACATATTGTTGATAATTTAACATGAGACATAACACAATATTAACTGCTTGTCTCTACAGAATGCAGTAACGTCCCCAATGCAGGAGCGTCTCACTGGCAATAACAGATTTTATTTATAACCATTTTCCATCCTGTATCTATTTATAATATCATAGTTCTTTGTAATGCATGATTTCATTCTAACAACAGGAAATGCTGGAAGATATGCTGAATCGCACAATCACTCGTGAGTACTTGGATGTCTTGAAAATGGTTCTTGTAGCTGGGAGTGCTGAAATGGTATACAATGCTATGGAGCAAGATGATGTGGAATGCACACGCGTAAATACAACCAGCATTCAAGCAGAGGTAATGAGTGAGCTTGGAACGCTTACTCTAAGAAATGAAGCAACATGTCAACCAATTGCGTTGTGTGTTCTCAGGTAATACATGTTTGCATATTTGACATATGAACACCATGTTTGTGAATTTTCCACCTTCAGTTTTGAAGGACGTAATTTCACTTTCTCATTATGTGAGATTTTATGTTCTTGTAACGGTGAACATATTGATTGTAGTCTTCTGGGTTGTGATGCCGTGTGGCCTTATGGGTTTCAGAGGAATGTATTAATGTTGTCTTAAGGGTAAAGGTTATTTTCTTCTTCTTTAATTTGTCTACCTGCAGCTATCTCGTTTCATATATATATGTATAGACCTCAGGGATGAGTGAACTATACCCGTAGGGCTGGTCATGTCTATCTGTATGTCTGTCAGCATAATTCAACATAAGAACTGCTGGATTGATTTAGATTAAATTTTAGTGTTGATGTTATGCCATTATGGACTGACCTGAAATCATACCTTTAAATTTTCTAGTCAGTAACACCAACATGGCAGACAAACAAACTTTTGAAATGAAATCAATGCTAGCAGCTGTTTTAGTGGGGCCATACAGTGATGTATGGAGATTACTGTCCAGATCTGTGCACATGCATGGTAAAGATACCAGTCAGAATTCACATCCTGGGCAAAGCCAAAATTCTCAGTGTGTGTGGCTTGACCCCATCATGCGTATACAATTATGTATATATCAGCACATGAGTTTGCAACAAGTTCAAGCGCACAAATGTACAGCTCAGAGTTACGAGTTTGTTCAGAGAAACTGGTCACATTAGTCCGTCACTTGTGTATGACAGCCTACAATGTATTCTTGGCACTATCAAACCTTGATGAATGCATGCAGAGAATTTGCTGGATGGAATATCTACATGTGTGATTCTGCTGTAGTTTTGTTGTTATTTTTGCTCGCTGGATGGAATATCTACATGTGTGATTTTGCTGTAGTTTTGTTGTTGTTTTTGCTGGCCTTCATTGCAGTTCACCTTTGATAGTGATGATGATGTGGGTGGTATGCACACTTGCAGCACATAATTGTTTTAGTTCCCAAGCCATCCTGCTAAAACTGGCAAGTAAGCTAGTGGATTTTTCTTTCTTTCTAATTTTAGAAGGGACGTACTGCATCCTGAAATGAGGACAAAATGTATGTGTTATCACAGTGTTTTTTGTTTTGCATAAAAACACTTTTTGCTCTCTTCCTCCTTATTGTTAGCCATCTTGATAACTTGCACAGTACATGCTCTTGGTAATTAACGCAGTATTCACATGTCCACCAGCCCATTAATTGAATTTCCACGAGTTAGTGCATTTACCCACACGTTTCAGATTTTGTCCATAACATACTCCCTGTTTCATGGTCTGAAGATATGTTTGATCCTGCACCATATTTTATGTAATGACTACAAATTTTACATATCTTCTTTTATTTTGTTGCTTCACAACTGAAGTATATCATAAACTTTGTTTCAGTATTAAGCATGTTACTAAAACTTGTCCAAATAATATTTAAGAATTCAGTGCCTACCTCAAAGAAAACAACTCATCGCCATTAAAAAAGATCAGGTAGTTGATACTGTGTAGGAAAATAATCACTGCTGATTCATAGAATCATATGAAATACATAAATATGCTCTGTGGGCAAAATGTAGAGTTAGTGGCTGTTAAAGTGGGTGGTACATGTAATTACCATTGAGCATTAAAGTATTAATACAAGCTTAGTAAATGTGTTATATTCATTATTCTGTACATTATTAGCAGAGCTGATCAGTCCATTTCTTATATTCTCACAGAATGTAAACAGCATCCCATACTGTGTTATACGTATGCTGAAAAGAAGTGTTGAGGCGTGGGACTTCAGTTGTTGATTGTGTGGCTTATATTGTACAGAGCTCTCTGCTGGAATGATTCTACGACAAGCATGAAAGCAACAAATCTTGCGGGACCAATGGTGCGTCAGCTGTCTAGTGATGGGAGTTTAACTCCTGATGTGGCAGCACATATCATGACCTCCGTTCTACAAGCGCTTCAGCTGCATGGGCAGCATGAAGCCAATTTAGGTTCACTGCTTGTTTTGGGAGCACAGCTATATGAAATACTACGTCCAGCGTTCCCCAACATCATAGAGGTATGAACAGCTCCTGTTTTTCATGAGTGTGGTTCGCAGTCTCTTATGTTTGAGTACCTGTTAATTTTTCTGTTTCTTATGCAGCCACTACCACCGCTGTAGTGGATTGGGTTCAGGGAACAAGAGAATAACTCCGCCACTGACATCCAGCTGTTATTGTGTGGCCTGCTTTAACCTTTGTCATACAGACAGCTAAGATTTTATCCACATTTGTAAGCCTTAATCGGGATGAGAGAATAAATATTGAGCTGTAAACTTTTAATTAACATGCACAGGCACATAATGTTACAGTTGCGCAATATTGTTAAAGAAGCGCTTGGGTTTACCACGTGCAAACTGCCACCATTTTATGCATAAGGCGCTGTGTTACTTGTTGAGCTCACAGCTGAGAATTTATGTTGTGTAATTGATGTGTTGGATCCTGTGCACTGTGGTTCAGTGCATTTAAAAATCAGTTTCGCTGCTAGTGCCACAACAAAAGAGTCTTGTAATATCAGTACAAATGAGATTGAAGGTTCGTTTTTAATTCTGATTTTGAAGGAAGTGTCTAGTATAGAATGTGCACATTACATCAGAATTTAATGTAATTGTTACAACGACTAAAGCATGGCACATCTGAGAAAGTGAAAACAACGTTGCACTGCTGTACTTTTTGCACCTCATGTCATATCAAATTAGATTCTTCATTATTTGACTTGTCTTTATAGATGGACATTTCAGAAATATATGGCACGCAGATCAGTCTACCAGTGCCCGGAATATTTTAGTTGTCGCCTGATTCTTGCCCAGTCAGCCAGAACTGGCTGAATCTTTGTTGCACATGATCTGCTTGATTTCACTTGAGGCTATTGGTGGGGGAGGGGCCTTGTGCTTGTGTCCTTTACCCTGTACCATCTCCTAGGGCCCTGCTGACATCACAGCAGGAGAAACAGCAAAGTGTACAAATGCTGGCAGGAGTGTGTAGCTGCTGGAGGGCAGTATTTTGAAGGCAGCTATGTTGTAGCTGTCAAACTAGAATCTTTTTAAGCTTCCACTGTGCATGAACGTACCATATTAACATCAAAAATTAAAATAAATGTCTTATAATAGTATGTCTTGATTTCTGTTTAACCTAAGGTTATGAACCAGATACCAAATTGCAACCCTCAGGAGTTGCAGAAACTGGATGAGAGGATCCTTTCCACCAATCAGAAGGGAAACAAATTAGAGAAAGCTAAGAAGGATATATTCAAGAGACTGACCAGCCAGGTTGGTGATACAGTTTGTTGTTTCTTCTTTTGTATAAAATTATTCTGTGATGATGATGAAACTTATCAAAACCCAACAAACCGGACATCAGGTACAGCTTAGATGCTTCAGATGCTAATCTCATTTCATAGTGCTAAAGCAACCAGAACTTAAAACTGACCAACCACTTTCATTTGTCCGGTGTCAAGAGTAAGAATGAGTAGTGTTATGTACACCTTCAGTCTTCCGGTGCTTCATTTGTCATGTGAACAACTTTGCATTATGATGGACTTCTTGTAAAATACTACCATATTAAAAATTTTGTTAATTTCAATACATGTTAAGGACCAGTTTATGAAACAACCCAACCCAGTTAAACATATGCATGAATCTCTTGAATCCTGTGATAGATGATGATTTAATATTATATTGATGCTTCTGTTATGTGAATATTACCATGTGAAAGTTTTACTCATTTACATTCATTTTGAAGACCAGGATGAGCCGGGATAGCTCAGTCAGTATAGTGACTAGCTACGGGCTGGACGACCGGGGTTCGATCCTCGACGGGGGCAGAGGATTTTTCCTCTAGCCTCTGCGTCCAGACCGGCTCTGGGGCCCACCCAGCCTCCTCTACAATGGGTACCGGGGTCCTTACCCGGGGGTAAAGCCGGCCGGGCGTGATGCTGACCACTCACCCCCATCTAGTGCCGAGGTCAAGGAAGAGAGGAGCTATACCTCCACTCACCCCAAACGCCTACATGGCGTATAGTGGGACAAACTTTACTTTACTGACTTTACTTTGAAGACCAGTTTCTTTAATGGTCCAAAGTATATCTTGGATCCTCTGTCAGATTTTGATGATGATATAGAAGTACTATCATGGTTTCTTCCACTTTAGAAAAGTTCGTAGTACACAAAATGTTGCAGCCAAGTGGTAAGCACTTCTGGTTTGTGTTCAGAGGGTCCTGGATTTAGATCTCAGCCTAGAGACAACTGTCCTGACCGAAGTTTTGCATGGCTGTTCTCAGTCCTTCCAGGAAATTGCCAAGATGCTGCTGCAAATTAAGCTATTACTACTACTACTACTACTTTCTTTCACATCCTTTCCAATTCATAAATCATTCTATTATTTGATGCTGTATAATCTGTGATACTGCAAGCATCATTAAATAAATGTAGGAATCATGACAGTGTTAGGTATGCACATAAACAGCATTGGCCTTCCTCTTGCTTTTGTTCTCTCATAGAACTGAACATAATGTGAGTAGGTAGACAGCAGACATCATGCATAAATGAGATGCACCTTCATAATGCTCGCCAAAGGTACATTTACTCTGTTTTATTTGAAATAAAAGTGAACATTTACATTGTTTTTGGTATAAACACTGGTGATAATTTGTACTTTTGGTTATATTTTTTTGATTCCAAATGAGTGTCCTATACCCAAAATTTTGCCTTTCTGTCTGTGACTAAGAGTATTCTAAAAAAAATCACATTTGTGCAGATAAATGATGAAATACTGGTTTAAAATATGCATGTTTACCTTTTTCACAGTTAATTGGTCGGAGTGTAGGGCAGCTGTTTCGCAAAGAAGTTCGTATTGCTGAATTACCGAGATTAGGCTTTCCACGACAATACAAAACTCCAAGATTGGATGAAACAGAAGGTGAATTGGAATTATGCACACTTTTTAAACAGGGTGATCATGAGCTCAATTAAGAGATGAAGCTTTTTATTGTGGTAAATATATGGAACGATTGAACACTGTTCATATTTTAAACAAATCATCACAACCAGTTATTTCAAAACCAAAACACTTGCTTTGAAAGAGTGAGTGTTAAAAACCTGCAGAAAAATGTCTGCTAAAATACATGTAATATGTAATTTTGAGAGTTATGTCCATAGTTGTATTCTAGGACTTTTACATAGTTGATGATTACCGTTTGAATATCCAGTTGAGAAAGATTAATTTGGAGAGTGAATGAGGTATTTTGATTTCCCAACTTTAGATATTTACTTTTTTTTTTTTGTCTTTGATTTTTGCATTTAATTTAACATGGAAGAATAAAAAAAGACTGATTTGTCAAATAACATTGTTTCCTGTTCCAACTGCTGAAGGCCTTACATAATTGTGACCAAATTAACATTTCTTTATGTACTTGTGTGTGTAAAACAGTCCTACATTTACAGCTTTCCAACATGTTTGGAGATGTTTGTATATATGTGTTGTAAGTTCTTGAGGTTGTCTGATTTATTTTTTCTTGAGAACATATTTTTTATACAATTCTTTATTGCGATCATAAAACATTATGTCAGACTATTTAAAATTTTCACATTTGTCAACACAGTGCATGACATATGTTGTGTTCTGGGATGTCACACCATGTAATATGGCATATATGATCAGTGTTTCATCAGGATGATGATGAAGGCAGTAGTGGCATCTGTAATTTCAGTCGGTATCTGCTAGACCGTAAATAACTGTAAATAACACGACCGAAAGAAAAATCAAAAGTATCCTCCAGACAGTGTTATTTATGTTAATCCTTTACTCAGTCATGTGGTATGGAAGTCTTTGCACAAGTCAACATCACAGTCTATGTGGTGTGTTCATGGCTCTCCTTCACAGTTCGCTGCAGCAGAGTGTATTTGTTACAGCAGTGCAATCTGTACCATAATATTTGTTTTCTACCATGACCCTGCTATTTCCTGTTGAGTTCTTAAATGAGGAAGTCCTTTATGTATTATCAGATTGGCAGTGCTATGCCTGAATTACGACGGAGACATGTCAAATCCATAAAGATGATGTTCTGGATTTTGGTGCCATTTAGACTCATAAGCAGATGGCAAAATTTTTGAGAAATGTACCATCTCCATCTAAAGGGCTGTAGTAGCAATACTCGGATATGTAAGGATTTATATGGGGTTAGAGAAAAGGAAGGCTCGAGGTGAGGGCAAATCAGACAAATTAATTTTTTTCAGTGAAGGAGGGCATTATGTTCTTGGAGGTATGCCCTGAAAAGGGCCAATTCCTTCTCTCTCTCTCTCTCTGACTTCGTAAATCCTAAATCGTTCCACTTATCAGAATCGATACTACAGCCTGAAGATGGAGACATGGTGCCTAAACTCAGAAGAAAGAATAAGTGCACGTCTAGCATCCCCTATGTCACTGGAACAAACCTCCCGGCCCCACCACTGATGCTGATTGTAAAGCACTAAAATTGGAAGGTATTGTTTGACCATTATCTTTCCGTCTATTATTTTAATGACTACACATTTTGACCAACTCCATCATCATCCACTGCCATTAAAGTAACTAGAAATGCATGTTGTGAGGAGAGAAAATAAAATTAACACTTTTTTCCTCATATTTATGGGGGCAGAAATCACATGATGTGAAAGTTGTAGGAGTGGATACGGGATGATAGCAATTCTTCTGATATTACAGACATGAAATTTTTAATTTAATTTAAACAAGTAGAGCTTCAGTTCAACTGGCTGCCACATCAAAATATTCATTATTTTGAGTGTCACTGAAAGGCATGCGAGTCCTATGAAGAAAATTTATTTTAATTTAGTAATGGCCCAAACCTGAACTATACACTTTATTACAGAAATGTTAGTGGAGTTTATAACTTAATTAATTGTGTGAAGCTTGGAACTGTATTAGTCCTCACCCATACTTTTGATTCTTTAAGTTTGTGATTTCATGTGTAAATGTGTTAAAAATTTGTGTTTATAGGTGGGCACAGAAGAAAAATAAATCATAGTTTTGTTTTGATGTGTATGCATATACATTTATGTGTGAGGACCAAAGCACATGCATGTACAGTGCATTCAGTGATGAATCGGAATGCAGCTGTCACTTCCCAGCTCATTTTCAGCCCCTCTTATAACAAATAAATTGAGTATTGTTTTAATGGAATGATACTTGCCTCATATTGGGAAAATCTTGTAGCACATGGTGAGTCATGCAGTTTCTGCTGGGAGCTGGAGAGAGATGTGTGTTCCAGTTTATTGAGGAACAGGTATTTCCCAGCCACTGCTATGAGTAGATGGTTACATGTTATGTTTTGTTTCACAGTAACCAACAGGGGCTGTTATCTTTGGTTATATGGTGAGAATTGTAGAATGTGTATTTGTATTTTCCAGTTACAATAAAAGAAACTTGTATGTCAGTGCTTGTTCTAGCTTTCTCGAATGGAACTATATGTGGAAATGTCATTGTTGAAACATTTTATGAACTTCTTAAGGGGAGTTCACAAGGAGTCGTGGACCAGGCGAGAACACTACTCTATTTGAGTGAGTCACACGACCTGCTTAATAACACCCGTCTCCAGTTCCCACTTGAGACTTCACAAATGCTTCTTCTCGCCTTCAGAGTCACGGTGTTTGAAAATGGCAGAGCGGGAAGCTATGATAGTCAGCAGAGACTCCTGATTTCTTGGAATTGCTTATTTTCTTCAATTCTTCATAATAAGCAGATCTGATGTTCTTAATTTTTTGTGCAACTTCTTGAGGACCAAAACCTTCTATGCATATTTCTTGAGATATTTCTTTTAAACATTGGTCCCTCTACTTGACATGTATTGTAAAAATTGTTTTACTTGGCTGTGTGCCATGCATTTTCTGCTAGGAGCTGGGATGTGACAGATGAATTCCAGTTTATTAGTGAATGCAGTGTACAAAAGCACAAAGTTGTCAGATTCATCATCAAGAGGATCTTATGTATATGGCTCAGCCTCAAAATTTTGATTGATGCAGTTATGAAACCAAAGACAATCCTGTTCTCACAACTTGGTCATAGAGTGGTATAATATAAATCTCACAAGAAGAGGTGGACATCACAAGTGAAGCAATGGATTGTCAGTTGAGAAACACTACTATTGATCATAGTGTTGAATAAGTTTGAACGAAGTGAAAACAAAAGAAAATGGGATGTTTCATTTCAGTTCTTAAAGTAATATCCTGCAAGTTTTAACTTCTACCAGATTACACGGTGCAACAACCCAGAAGACAGTCATTTTCAGACTCACTACTGTGAAAACCTCAAATCTTTTACAGACTCTTGGTTTAACTAAAATTCTCAAGAGCAAATTTTATATAGCATCAAATAGTAGGATTATTTATAAATGATGAATCTGAAAGGATGTAAAGGAAGTGGCTTACTGTAAGGCATATTCTCCACTGAGGAAAACCTGATAGCCAACCTCTATGTTCAGATTTGAGCCCAGGATCATCTGAATACAAAGCAAGAGTGGTTACTGTTTTAATGCTGCCATAATTCCTGTGAACTAGCCGGTGAGGTCAACATACTTATTGCTAGTCGATAGCAGTTTTGCATATACCTACATTATTCCTTAGTAGGACTCCCGACATTTCATTACACGATCCAATTTCCAAAGGGGCAGCCAATTGCCACTAACACCGGATTAACGAGTGCTTCGTACCCCAGTAGTTCCTTTCTGTTAATCATTAATGATACCAACCTCATGACAGAATTCCTAAAAGTATTACTGAGTGTGGGGTACTGATGACGTAAGGTAAATTAATTCTGTTCCTCTGAGTAATTTGTTCCGTTGAACTTTGAAATGGACTTTTCATTTATAACCCGTGGTATATATTTGATAATCTTTGGTATACGGCCTATATTCCGTGCTCGCTCAGACCGCGCATTTTATGTCTCCAAGCGCTTCCGTGTGTATAGCTAGTGCTCGACTTTAGGGGTTTATTTCGACGTATAATGCTGAAATGTATTTTATTACGTTGATCGAATTGAGCAACATAAAACGCCATCTTTGTTAAGCACAACTTTGTGCATAGAAAATGGATACTTTAGCAGCGCCAACTCATACTATTGACTTTTCAGATCAAATATTCCGAGTTGATTTTTCGCCTTATGAATGGTCACAGAACGTAATTTGCATCGCCCTTGCAAATAAGATTTGTGTGGGTAATGTGAAATTTCAGGTATTTGTATATATGTAAATGCATATTTTCGTAATGGTGCTATTCTGGACATAATCATCGTCGTTGGCGTGTAAACTTTCACACATATTTTGTTATAAAATGTTCTTGGGCAATCAGCCTCATCAAATACAGACGTTTCGCAGAGTAGCTCTGTTTCCATTATCAGGCTCATAGTGACCATTGAAAACCAGTATGTTATGAAAAGTTTAACAGGGCCTCTGAAGAGTGACATGTTCTCATGAAATTGGTAATGAACCTGTAAGTTCCATGAGAGGCAGGTAATTCGTAGGAGAGCTGAGCATGATGTTAGCTTCTCAGGAAGGACTCTACTGCAAGGAGTTCTTTGAGAGAACCCATTTTGATCTCTTTCATACTGAATTAAATTTGTTTCAGAGTGTAAACTAATAATTTAAGGTTAGGCATGTTTTATTAAGCAGAAATAAGGAAATACTGATAGATAGGTAGATAGGAAAGTTTAGCTCTCTTGAAAAACGTAACTCGGGAAAGGGTGTAAATACATTGTTTTTCACACCTGTTGATGAATTATTCTGATATTTTGTATTTAATCCAGGAAGAAGAAGATTTGGAGGAAGAATTAGAGTTTCAGTTATTAAGAGAGTTTCACCACGAGACTCGTGTGTGTGCTGTGGCATGGAGCCCAGAAACTTCTTTAAGTGTGTTGCCAAAATGTGTGTCATTTGCTAGTGCAGGTGCTGACTACAAAGTACGACTGTTCAGTAGTGACTTGGTGGCCATTCATACATTGCAGGTAATGCAAACTGATACCACATTAAACTTGCATGTGAGATTGTTTCAGAACTGCCCTTTCAGTTCATTAATGGTGTGGAATAAAATTGCACTGCATAAAATTATGTTGGATTAATATGAAGTACATTAGGATTTGATCTTGTTTTATGTGTTAATAGTCATGTGTAACCAGTGTATTCAGTGGACAATAGACCCATTACTTCTTCCCACTTCTCAGCTTAGCCAGTTTGGGAAGGGGGGGGGGATATATAGGAGTGTAGAATTTGTTTAAGGAAGGGTATGATTCAGGTTCCATCATGATAGACTTTCTTGCTTTAATTTACAGAATATTACATTAAGATAGGCCAGCTAGGCTATGATTTATATATCTATATATAAAGTACTCATTCTTATCTGTAAAAATAATGTGGTCACACTAGTTCTGAAAAATACATATTTTATTAGTACCTTTGTATACTGATATGAACCCCAAAGACATTCTTTTTTAAATTCTCCACTTTACACATGAGTGAGCTATCCATTGAGTACTGGGGGCTGCAGCTCTGAGCTGCCATCTTTCCTTAATCCAATGTTAAGGTTAATATTTTCCTATATGTGGTTGTGTGGTGCTTTATTGAGCATCAGCAGCAGTTCAGATTGCACATGTATGAGAGAAGACAATTAGAACAGGTTTAAATGTGTGAGGATTCCTCACTTTCAGCATCAGCACTTCCAAGAGTCACCATATACTTTCATGTTGCAGTATTGCTGTAACCAGCTGCTGCTAGCATTTTATTTAGGAATGCTCCTGTTTTTTACAGGCCTTTATGTAGTTGCCTGTATTTACATGCCACAAGTACCAAAGTTACTTCATTTCTTTTGCGCAAACTTTTTGTAAGCAGCTTCTTTATCCTTTAATCAGTAAGTGTCCTTATAATTTTTGAGTTGACTCTTTTTGTTGAATGGCGCACAGTTTGTTTTGCTATGCCCGCTAATACAGCATCTGATATTTCTTATGGAAAGTCACTATAAGCAGTGTCTGGTTTCCATACCATCATCATTTAATCTCACATGAACAGTTAATGTCCCAAGAAGGATTTAGAATGGTGCGAGTACTGCCATTGATAATGTTTTTGAGGAAGGATTATTATTATCAAATAAAACCAGTCATAAATGAACTATGATGCTTGGTTAATAGTGACAAGGTGAAACCAGTTGTCAGTAATTGCAGTTACAGGAAACAAACTAGACAAATAAATGATCTTGCTATAGTGCTGTGAGGAATGATTTATAAAATCCTATAGAATACTAAAACATATTTATTATCTCAAATGACGAGGTATCTTATAGGTCCTTTGTGGTCATACCAACTATGTGAATTGTGTGACTTACGAACCAGAAGGACAGTTTCTGGCATCAGTCAGTGATGATCACACGTGCAAGATCTGGAACATCAAGGAAGATAATAGCTGCACTGCAACATTTTTTCTCACTTCTCCAGGTAATTGGAAATTCAGTGGAATTCTGTTGTGACATGGACATGAATTAGTATCAGGAGTACACCAGGTGATGTTAATTCTATGATGAATCTTGTGAAAAATTGCTTTACAGTTTCAAAACTTACACATTGTCCCATACAACTATTTTCCTTTTAGAAACAGACTAGAGAAGTGAATGTTTTCTGCACAGTTGAGCTCAACTGTAAGTATCTTGATGGAGTTGACACATTGCCTGCACTTGAACCCATTATAATAAACTTTCTTAAAATATTCCCCTTTGGTTCTGTAGTTTCAGTTCATGTTTGTTGATTCCCTTCTTTAGACTTACAAAGTACACAAAAAAAATATTGTAGGTATGGCTGTGTGCTGCCATCGTGAGGAAGTTGGTAAGCTTCTGGTTGCTGAAAAGAATGGACTTATTCATCTTTACAATGTACTGAGCCACCAAGCCATTTTGTCCGTTGACAGTGGATGCATTCCACTCATGTCTGCTGATTGGTCTCCTAGCAACAGTCTGCGTGTGGCTGCCATTGCAGGTGGAGAGTTGTTGGTATGGGACATTTCTAGACCCAGGTGAAGAATATTCTGTGTTTATTTTCTTTACTGCTTTGTGTTAATATTGTTGGCATAGGATGTTATACATGCCACCACTGACCAACCATTGTGAGATTTATGTTTCGAGATACTTGAGCACTGTATTTTTTTATAAGTGAGGTGATATTAAGTTTGCTTTAAACTTTATCCTGTGCAGTTGAAATAACCATTGTCCCTCTCATTGCCCAGATTTAATTCAGGGAATTTAAATAAAGTGCACATTCTCAATCCAACCTCATACTTTGCACAACTGATTACAGTTCATATAACCTTTCTGTAAGTGTAAGGCACACATCAGTATAGCCTCTTGCTTTTGTTAGGCTGTTTAGATGGGATTCTAACCCTGATAATTGTGTAGCCTTGGGGCTGGTCTTTCTCTCATGGCAGGCTGCCGGTATCTAACAGGAATAAATATGACATGGATCAAACTGGAAAAGCAGAAATAAATTACAGAAATGGAGTTAGCAGCTCACACTTACTCAGGAGCGACTGACCAGCTATAAGGAGTGAAGTCTGACTGATAGTACAGCCATCTGTATTCTTGTGTTGCTCTGTGAAAATGGGAACCTTCAATGCTGTAGTTCCCTTGCACATTGCTGCATTTCAGTCAAACATCTAATAGCATCCACATTATAAGCTACCTGCATTTATAAGTGGAAACAACATGCATCTTGGGGGCACATAATCACACCCACAGTATTTCCAATGTTGCAATATAGCAAGGGTCTATTATAGTATTCTAACCTCTGGATCCAGACCTGCTCTGGGGCCCACCCAACCTCCTACCCAATGGGTTAAGAATGAGTTGGAGCTATACCTCCTCTACCCCCAAGTGCCTATCCGTTTGTACAGAAATTACTATTCAGTAAACACCAGCACTGAATTTAACGAAAATTCATTCAGCTAGATTTGAGTATTGTTTTTATATTTATATTATATTTTGACAAGAAGTGAAAACTGGCAGGCATACTTGAAAGTCAAACTGAGTATACATAAGTTCACAAACATTTCTCTGTGATTGTTTTTTAATATATATTACTTTAATATTTGCTTGGATTTCTGAAGATCCAAAATGGTAGAAATTCAAGTTCTAGCTGTATATCTTTTGCCTTGACATCAGTATTTTATTAGCTGTAATATCAGATGCATATCATTTTCAGTCGACCCATAGATGCACGACCTATTCATGTCGAAGGAGGTCAACTGCTGCGATTCTCACAGCTAAGTGACCAGTACATTGCCACAGTTGGTCAGGCTGATCTCCAACTAAAGGTCACGAATGTCAAGAACAAACATCCTGTTCTGGTAGCATCACTTCAGGTACTGGGTTAAAAAATTATGTTGGTGGAATACAGAAATTTGTCCTTGATAAGAAGAATGTTGTGCAGAACCAAGGAAAAAGACATGTTTGTTGGAATTTATGTTTTATTTTCCAGCTTTGATGTCTGAAAAACTAAATTTGCATATGAAGCAAATATCCTAGTGGGTGTGATATATTTACATTAATCATGATGAGTACTGATGCAAATGACTAAAAGATGTTATTTACATAAGATACTTTTATTCATATTTTATCATAACTATTACCCTCAGAATGTATGTAGTCTGATTTGTGTGATATTGCCTATTTAAATTATTCAATCCTTCAGGTAATTAACAATGCATGTGTTTGAGCACAGGAAACTTCTGACATGCAAAGGAAGGATGCCCTGTAGTAACATGGTGTCCATACCAAATTTTATGGAAGTGTGTTTCTTGTTTCAAAAGTTATTGAAGAGGTGACACATGGTCCTGATGATACAATGCCTGATGAGAACTTAACAAGCATGGTGAAGGTTGTTCCATTTTGTAGATGAGGTGACTGTAAAGTTACACCTATTACAATATGAAGATTGATTGTGATTAAGATGTCTCCTGACATCCACGTTATTTTGGACACGAGCTATGCTTCCTTCCTCTACAGATATAGGATAATTAGTTTTATAGTGGAAGTTAATATGGGCAGTATTATTACATCAGTTTTTCTGAATTTCTCATTATGATGAGTTTCCAATAACAGTGCAGTTGATTCTATTTTCTTTCAGCTTGCTGGTGGCTTGACATGGCACTTTCGTTTACCTTATGTCTGTGTGGGGAATGATCGTAAACTTTGCTTCTGGAAAGTTGCTACCAAGTGAGGAGGAATATTTCCAGTCAGAAACTCTTTGTGAAGTGAAAGCCAAGATGAGCAGATATTTAAGCAGACTTCATCAGCATATGGTTCAGAAGGTAACAGACATTTAGAATAGGTTATAAAACTACTAATGTAATTATTTTTTTTGCATATTACTTGAATTAATAAGTTAAATGGAATAACTGGAGTTCAAATCTCTTGTTTAAAATGTTGAATTCCTTAATAAAATCTTCTCGGGCCAGCAGCCTTGCCACTCGGTTAAACTCTGCCATCTCTGTTCTCATTTTCAAGGCTAGTCATAGCTGTGTGCTCACATCACCCAATTTCTGTAAGATTCACTTTAATATTATTCTACCATAAAAGAGAAATGGGAAGACAAATCAGTAACATTTGATGAGGCCAGTATCAATCCACAACATAAAAATGTTTATAATGTGAACTGCCCTGCAGCTTCTGCATCCAGACTGGTTCTGGGGCCCACCCAGCCTATCATGTGGGTCCTTTCCCTGGGAGTAAAGCGCAGCCAGGGCGTGACACTGACCACTCACCCCATCTAGTGGCGAGGTTAAGATTGAGTAAGACCTATACCTCCTCCACCCCAAATTCCTAGATGGCATGTAGCAGAAGAGTTTTATTTCACTTTACTACCCTGCAGCCTACCGATTTCCTCAAGAATCAGTGGAACCTAAATGGAAAAGATTTCCAAGCTTGGTTCACTAATTGCGTTTGTAATGTATGCCTTATGAACTGCTTCTTTACACTTTCTGCAGATGTTGGCTTCTATTTTTACAGCCCTGGCCTCCTTCCATTTTGAAAGAATTTTCCTGTACAATAAAAGTAAAATCTTCAAAATCAGAAGCATGTAAGCATTTATGAAACTGATCCTTTAATCACACCTCTTTAATTTATTCAGACGTCACTTATGCACTAGAAAGAATACCATCCAGGTATTCCTGGCTGCTGATTACTTTTGTCTAAGAACTCTCTATAATTCTTTTTTGTCTCTTCTAATGTTTTGGCATCATCATCCAATTTCTTCTCATCCTTTGGAAATATGTCTGGAAAATGAAATTCCTGCCCTCGAGGCTGTAACATAAATTCAATAAGCTGTTGAATCAATAGTAAACTCTGAAAACAGTTCATCTTTCATCTTAGTCAAACTTAATAAAAGAGTATAATATCTTACATTTTCTTTAAAAACTCTTAATACAATTGATAGTATAATCTGATATGAATAATTCTACTTACCAGTGTGACAAATGCAACTTTGAAGTCGTCCTCTTTTGTTACATATCCCTTTAATTGATCTTGTTCTGTTTTTCCTAAATATATATAAAAGTGCTGTTATAATATGACTACTATAAGATAAGCATTCAGACTTCCCAAAACTTAAATTATTTAAATTTTTACAAATCACAATGTTTCAATGGATGCCAACACATGTATAACATGAATTACACGTACCCATTGTGACAACAGTCCGTACATTAACAACTGGAATTTTGTATATCTTCTCGAGGTAATTTCTGATGTCATATTTTGTCATCTGTATGGATACTATGAACTGGACAACATTTGGTGGAAATTTGTGACTAGGTCTCACCAGTTTCAACCAAAAGTTTGGAAGAAACACTCTTTGCTGAGGATTTCCCACCTGGTACAGAGGATACCTTCAAAAAGAAAAGAGTATTCAGTTATACAGTTACAATCACTGGTTATGCAGTGTTCATTCACAAACCAGAATGCAACTTTACTTCCTGGCTGGAACTGCTGTACTACAAGTAACTTAATTTTATCATTGCAGTGACACTTGACTCAATGGAAAAACCTTGTAGTGCATACAGTTTCTGCTGGGATCCAGGAAGTGTCAGCAGCAGTCCGGTTTATCGGTGAACGCACTCTTTATAATCAGCTGGAATACACTTTGGTTGAGTCGTTCTCAACCTGTGTGCTGTTGACAGTATCAAATTGTGCAGGAAGGCTTCAAGGAAAATAAATATTACAATACATTAGAGTACACATTTATCATAAATATGAATCTTCCAACATTTAATAATGTAGGCTGAGAAGGGGCATGTTCAACCCTTCATCCCTTTACTGCCCTTGGCTGGTAATAGCCTTGTGTGCTCCTTTTGTTGACAAAAGGTTGCTTCATGAAGATTTTGGACGCACTGTTCTCAATGTCCCTGAACCTTTAGGAGTTTGTGTTGCTGATACTCTATTTTTTATTAGAAAGCACTTTAAAGGTCTGCCATCTCCATGTGCTTGATGTTTTTGTTCATTATATATGCATAAAAAGTTCCTGTTCCTGAGTGTAGTTATGTCTGTAGTGATTATATGAACTTCATTTTACCTGGTCCCAGTTTAACATCTTTCAGAAGTAACTTTCCCATGTCTGTTGAGTTTCCCCAGAAAATTCCATATGACATTCCTGAATGTAGGTAAGCAAAGTTGACTAATTTTAAAGGTTCTGTTTACATGAGTGGTATGACAGTCCTCAGCAAAGCATGCACAGCTTAGTTTAGGAATAATGTACTGAGTATGTTCTTTCCTATTTAAGAATGGGAATGGCAATGAACAGTTTCCACAATATGTGCAAAGTAAAGAATTTCCAAGTGTGGAATAAGGTGTGTACCCTTTAGAAAAACTAGTATTAGAAAGGGTGTAGAACATGTGTACAGTATCACCTGATTTACAGCAAGCGCTACTCAATTCTTATTATTATTACAAGTGACTACCATTATGAATGTAGGTTCATTAAAAAGCACTGAAATAGCTCATATAAAAATCAACTAATGAAAGTTGCTATCGCATTACTACCAGGCCACAAAACAAATTCCTGGAAATAAAATTTCGCGAAGTTCAAAGACTTGAAATTCATACATAACATAACCTACAAAGATACCAACAAACGTACAACCTACTGCAACAAAGAATCCCAAAGCTTTACGTTATCAGATTAGGCACATGACAGAAACTTTAGACTGTCTATACTGACCATCTTGTAGACATTTTACGTATTTGTATTAGCCTGTCACGGACGACAAAAACATAACACCTCGATCCGTAATTGTCTTCTATCAGTGAGTACTAGATTGCTCCTCAATTACACAAAATGTATACTGTGGCACAACCGATGTTATTGCCAACGTAACCCGGAAGTGGAAATATTCCCCACTCGACACAAAATTAACTTTCCCTGCTACAGTAATCATCGAGAAGGCTACTCTCGTACTCTTGAAGATACTACTTTAAGAAGGTGTTCAAGGTATAATTTAATTGGGATTTCGTAGTTACAAGACTTAGTTTGTCGTAACATTTTTGAAATTGAATAATGTGAAATTATAATCTTACTAAATTCGAATATGTTTTATTGTTATTTCTCTCTCTTAAGAGTCATATTATGTTTATTTGGCTTCATTTAACCGAGTTGTTTTACAATCGTTTAATAACTTCATATCTTACTCCATGGATTGAATATTTGTCATTCAGAAAAGAAAAGAACGGAAAGAATTTATGTAGATTCCATAGATCCTTAATAGACCTTAGCAATGGCACAAATACAATACTTGTTTGCAATAGTTGTATATTCCATAGTTACGACAGTAATTTACGGCCAGGTAGAGTATAACCGTAAAAATAATTGCGCAAGAATGCATACCCACTATTGCTTACAAGTATTAATAATAGTTGAGGTAGTTGCTATGGTGTAGGAGTGACAAGAGATACTCTACTAGTGCTGTTATTTATTATATAAAATTATCATGAAACTGATAGATGAAGTTTTTAAACAAATTTCAATTAAAAAGTGCAAGTAAAATCAGAGGTTTCCAAGCTTCATATAATGGTGCTCCCTCAGCAAAGTCTTTATTAACCCCCCACCAATTTGTGTGGGGTGGGGGCTGTCTGTCTACATGAATATATACACACTTTGACCAGTTTCTTATTTTAAAAATCAACACCCCTGAAATATCGGTAAACTTTTGCAATGTCCTAGAAGATGACAGTCTTCACACTCACTGCTCTGAGAACCTGAAATATTGTCATATGTTCTGTTGGCTGAGGTGACATACAAGCCTCAAAATTATTCACAGGTGTTCAGTGTCCCTACCCCAAGAAATAGAGGATAAAAGTTTTCAGAAAGACTAGTTTCTATAGGTTTTCAGACATTGAACTGTGAGGGATCAGGTTGTGGGCTACACAGCATAAAACAACCCTCTGCTTATACTGCCCTTTCAAAAAAAAGGAAATTTGTCAACCCAGATCCACTTAGTAATTTTACATATGTTAAAGGAAGTATGAGAAACAAAATAAAATTGCTACATTGTCTCCTTTTGTGTAATTTCTGAGTCCTGTTACTTCCTTTGTCTTGGATACAAATATTCTTTCATCACATCTTCTTATCCTGTTTTCATGTGGTCCAGATACATTTTTGTAATACTTTAGTAATGAAATGTGGTTAATGTCAAAGTCAAATGTTTAATTTTAAGCAAATAATGAGAATAAAAGTTGACAAATTTGAGGGCATTATTGAGTAATTTGATATGAACCTGCCTGTGATAACAACTTCTAGCATTTTTAATAAATTGCCATGAGGTTCCATTAAATTATTGTTCCTTATAACTTTGTGGCCCATGATCTATTAAGAAAGGGTGGATGTGGCCCCAGGGCTTAGTAAATTGAGAACCCTTGCTTTAGATTTTTATATGGAACACAAAAATTAGAAAAAAAAACATTCTGAACTGAACATTTCCCAGATTTAATGTGCTCTTAATTTTATCATGAATGTAATTCTTTTCACAGGTTATAGAGCAGAAGAATCAAACAGGTGTCTTGATTTTCCACCATTAGGTACCAGCACAATGGGAAAGCACTTCGGTGAACTGGCCAAAATTCGAGGCATCATCCAATACCGACTCTCACCACACGAACAAAGGGCTTTTGCTGGTGCTATAAGTAAAGGCCTCCCGAACGTTTTCGTCCGCCTTCGTTCTAACATTTTACGAGTCCTACCACGTGAGTTCAATTCTGTTCCATATGACTAGAAATACTGGTTATTTACAGACTGAATCCTGTTGTTGTACTGCGTTCATACCGGTTGGTGTCAGGAGCTGAACAATTGAATAATCCTTTCAATATTGGTACAAAAGTTAGTATCGGTTGGCAGGTCTGAGTGTTGGCTTCTGTCATGCGGAGCGTTCCTTTTATTCCATTTTACAGCTAACAGTGTCAGATAATTGTACGTATTTGTTTGTAACGTGCCAGCTATAAACTGAAAGTACAGTAGAGCCCCGATTATCAACCTTAACAGGACCGGTGGATGATCGGTAAATGAAAGACTGAGGGTAAATATCAACTCCGTTTATAATTCAGTTTATGACATTAAATGGCGAAGAAAATACGGTATGGCATCAAATGAAAGAATCTCACAAACTAAAACGATGTTGCAACACGATGTAAATTTTGCGAAGAAATTGGTAATGGGCTTTTGCTTCTGAGCCTCTCTTTCTCTGTGATAAGGTCGCATCAGTGCCCGAACAGCAGTTTGTCCGTAGCGGCCGCCTCCCCTTGTTGTTCAACAGAGGCAAGTGCAGTCTCTTGGTGTGACTCGCGGCACAGCAAATAATTGGGTCTCTCCTGTACTGTAGTCAGGGCACGTCTGATGGGTTTAGAAGGTGACGGGGTCGGACGGCAGGGAGGGCAACAGATAAGCTTGTGCTGCCCATCCTGTAAACATTCTTTCTTGGTTGTAATACTTTGTAGTTTGCCGTCTCACTTCCTCTGTCAATAACGCCTATGATTTACGTGGTATGTGCCAGGGCTGTGGAGTCGGAGTCAGTAAAAATGTACTGACTCTGACCTCGATATAAAATCTTAAGAACAATTTCTCTACCGTGTGAGCCGCCGGCGGCCTCACGCTTAGGGAGATTTAACGACGCGTTGAGCCACATGGTGTGGGAATAATGCTTTGTAACTTTGGCTCCGGCATCTTAAGAATACATCCTGTCTACAAATCAAACGATTTCTGCAATAATATTTAAATCTAGGTTATAATTCTAAAAATTCGGCTGATGATTCACGTGATGGCGATGAAATCTCTTGTGTTACCATTTACCATTTTAGTAGGTTTACCCTTATTAATACGTACTGAAGACAGACTTCCTAAGGCTGCACTCAGCTACAAACCTAACAGGAAAAGAGATCGAGGTCGGCCAAGAAGAAGATGGGAAGATCAATTTGAAGCCCGAACAGGCGTTAGTGCCAAATCCCTTATGATGAATACATATCGAGCTTTTATGAAGGAGCCGGAGTCGGACATTTTAGTACCGACTCCACAGCCTTTGTCTTCCTTCTGCCCACAAGTTAATGACGTAGGCAAGGTGCAGAGTTTGGTCTTGGGTGCAGTACCTCGCCCAATTCTTATGAGCAGCCTGCCTCTTTTTTTCCATGACTGTGTTTTTAGAGCGTGTAATTTTAAACCAGCAAATTTACTCTTGTGTGTGTAGAAATCTTGAACGCAGATTTGGAATGATTTAGGCTCTTGGCTGGAAACAGAAGTAGAAAGTTTGACTGCGTTAAAATTAAGTCCGCAAAGTAGTAAAAGTAAAAAGTAAAGTTTGTCCCACTATACGCCATGTAGGCGTTTGGGGTGAGTGGAGGTATAGCTCCTCTCTTCCTTGACCCCGGCACTAGATGGGGGTGAGTGGTCAGCATCACGCCCCGGCCGGCTTTACCCCCGGGAAAGGACCCCCGGTACCCATTGTAGAGGAGGCTGGGTGGGCCCCAGAGCCGGTCTGGACGCAGAGGCTAGAGGAAAAATCCTCTGCCCCCGTCGGGGATCGAACCCCGGTCGTCCAGCCCGTAGCTAGTCACTATACTGACTGAGCTATCCCGGCTCATCCGCAAAGTAGTAGTTTTGAAAAATAGGATGAATGCGGTGCTCACGGTCATAAAATAGATTGCAGGAGGTGCAGTAAAGACAGTGGAAAGATATTTATACTCCAGTGCGGCAAGTTTAATTTTGTGCACTCGATGAAATGATTTTGCAACGAGCTTTTGACTTGTACAGTGGCAAAACATTTCACATATAAAGTGTGAGTTTGTCTCAGTGGGAGGAAGAATAAACATTTATTTATTTCAGACTTTCTTTATTATAATTATGTATAGTTTTTGCAGACATATTTTTGTTAGCCTTTGTCTTGCGTGCCGACAATCTTCTCAAGCTCTTGACTCAAAAGAACGTGCTTTCTGTATGTAAAATATAATCACTGTAAGGGAACATTTACGTGATTTTAAAATTTCTGTTTTTACAAATATATATATATAAATGGAAACAATTATTTGTATACGTAAAGCAAATTGCAGGACTCAGATATTCAAAGTGAAACTTCAAAATGTGTCAGTGAATCTGGATTAATTCTGTAAATGAGCGTCTTTGTTGACAGGCTTCTGTTTAGTAATGAATCAGTTGAGGTGTCGGGCGAACTAAAGCCAAGTTGTGTTTGTTTTCAGCGTTCGTGATCGCCTACCTTATTTATGACGGTGTCGAGAAGAAGCATAAACAGCTTATGCGGAAGAACCCAAAGGATTTTGAAAATGATGAATAGGACATCTGAGAGACAATTTTGTAGTACGTGAAACAGCCAGATAAGTTTGTGTAATATATGTTAATCAACTGTAAAAGTTATTTTTATTGATTTCAAATGTACAGATTTTTTCTTCAAAACTTCGGCCGTTCACTCCCAGAACCTTCCTTGGTCTACTATTAGCTGGTCCGCGTGATTATCAGGCCTATTTCAGATCGCTGAATCATGCGCGTTGCGTGAAATAGTTCACAAATAACACAAAATAATATACAAGGGAAGACTTTTTCAAATTCCAAAGATTAATCGTCTCCTTAAAGGAGCCTCATTTAGAATCACTTGACGACCAGAGCAGGCCTACCAGAAGGGCAGAAATTGTTTCCAGGCATGAAAGGACCATTCAGAAGCGAGTATTAAGTCAGGGGGCAAAGTATCTATGAAGGTGATGACACTCGACCAGAGTCAAATAAAAATGTATGTATATTTTTTAAGATGTGAGTCCAGACGTCACAATTAATACTTTCAATCCCGTTTCTGTCCTGCGTTCTTCCGTAATCCTAATCACGTGTGATCAGTGCTTTTGTCACGTTTTTGAAGCCGTGATTTGTGACGGTCAACATTGAAAATGCAGGTCTCGGCAGAGAATGCGTCATCTGGATGGACAGTGGACTGGTTACTAAGCAACCCTGAGGATGAGAACAGAGATGGTTCTCTGAACGCCAGAAGGTTTGCTTTGTTCGCCGTTCGGCAATGGCTCGTAGCCCGAGAGTATTTCGCCAGCTTCAGTCACCGTGAAAGCTTTACTTCATGAAATTCATAATACAGCAGAGTCGCAGTGTTTCGCGATCATTCAAAGATCCTGATCTTTCTTTGGTGAGAGAAGAATTGATGTCATTCCACGGTGCATCTTCTTGTCAGTTCTTGAAAACGTGAATTGTGGTCCTCATTCAGCATCCAAAGGGAAAAGTCCACTTGGAAGGCTTAGGCGTAGATGGGAAGATAATATTAAATACAGGATGTACCAAAAACATGTATACATATTATAATACGGAAATATTAACCCTGTTATCGATCTGTGTGTTATTTTTACAGAAAATGGGTGATGGTCGTTTTGAGCACTTGCACTAGATTCGCCAATTCACAAAGTGCCAATGGTTGATTTTATTAAAATGACTTTATTGTATTCATTAATTTAATGTGTGTGTATGCCTATTTTGGTAAGGTAATAAATAGGTTGGTTGGGTGTGGAGTGGATTCATCTGGCTCAGGTTAGATACCGTTGGCGGACTCCCGTAAATACGATATTGATCCTTCTTAGATACCGTTGGCGGACTCCCGTAAACGCGATATTGAACCTTCGGGTTCCGTAAAAGGCGGGTAATTTCCCAAAACCACTGTGCTCCTTGGGGTTAGTGGTTTCGCAAAACATCATTACTTCGGACTTGTGTTATCTTTCTTTCTGAGATGTTTGCACCTACCTGTTTGTTTCGTGCTCCTGGTTGGGTTGAATGAAGTCCCTCTCGCCCCACCGCCCGCCTCATCATTCTCCCATTCCACCTTGATGACTCCGTGAAAGAACAAGCAATACTCTGCCCCAAAAAGGAAACACAAGTCAGGGGTGTCCATATCTGCGCTCGATATCCTAACACTAGGTCTCCGGGGTCACATAACCCTGGTGCTGTTGTTAAATGTGCCGCTCACGTTTTACTGTGAAGGCCTCGTGTGCCTGCTTCCAGCCTCCCTGAATTTTTCTTCACGAGGTTTGTGTGTTCCTTAGGCAAAATGTCCCTATCCTTTTCATGAGGTCTCACAGGAATGTTTCATTTTCCCGAAACGAACTGAAGCTCTATGAAGCATGGTTATTGCCAATTGTACTTAATTAAACATTTAAGTCTTGCGGTGCCAGTAATTTCTCACTCGTTTGGTCACGCGCGCTAATAAGGGCCTTGAAAACGTCGTCGTAGAGACCTCCGAGCGATTTCACTCCCAAATGGGTTTGTAGGTGCGTGGCTGAGCGCGCGTTGACTTTGTCTTGTTCTGCCTGACCCCTGTGCAGTTCTGGCCCGCAACGGAATGGAGTAGCCTACTCAATACCCAGACAGGACTGCGCAGTCTCTGGGAAGACGAAAACCTTCAATTTTTTGAGACTTTTAGTAGAGTGTCCTGGTATCGAAACCGCCCTCGTTTGTGACGCCTTCCCTCTGCAGCTGTGGAACTAAAGTTCCACCAGAACAGTAATAATCACTTCGGGGACAAACGCGCGCCCACGAACGGCATTCAGAAGAGCTCTCCGTAAAGTTTTCTGACGTTTCAGGGGCGCTTGCTGCCCCATCATCGGGGGCAACATCCCAGACGACCGTCGACTTCGCTTAAATCCAATTCGCATCCTCGGACAGCAGGCCCTAGTTCGATCCCCAGTGACAGTGAGTGTGGGTTAACTGACCTAACGTTTCACTGTTCGCGCGTGGATAATTTTCAAAGTCATCAGGATTCTTGTTTATTAATTCTTTTAAACGTGGCAGGTGATTCGTGTTTCTGAGTGTCCCAGTTTTTCATCCACGTCTTCCGTTTCGATTTTAGTCCTGAAATTTTGTGACCTGAAGTACAGCAGCAACCACTTATGCAAAAATACAGCGTGTAAAGGCAGTTTAAGGTCGTCGCTCGCTTGGA